CACCCCCTTTTTTTTTTTTCACCAATTTTATTTTTTTTGGTTTTTTTTTTTTTTTTTTTTTTTTTTTTTTTTTTTTTTTCCATTCATCGTAATAATAATAATAATAATAATAAAGAAAAATTTAACCACTAATAAAGACTAAAATGTAGTATTTATTTTTCTCTCTAAGTCTAACCAATTACCTAAATAAACAGGTGTCCTCCTCAGCACAATACATAATACAACACTTTACGGCGGCCACCGGTTGCCGGAAACTAGAAGGTCCGGTGAAGAATATATTTGCCACTGGAAAAGTGACGATGGCGATGGGGGATCACGACCTCGGCTCTGCCGGGGTCTCGGCAGCCGGGGCTGCCAGCAGTACAGTTTGCCAAAAGGGGTGCTTTGTAATGTGGCAGATGGTTCCCAACATGTGGCTGATTGAGCTGGTGGTGGGCGGGCACAAGGTCATTGCGGGGAGCGATGGCAATGTCGCTTGGCGGCACACGCCATGGCTTAGTGCACACGCCGCGAAAGGTGGCGTTCGCCCTCTCCGGCGAGCTCTTCAGGCAAGTTTTTCAACGTGTTATAGAATATTGAATTTGCCAACCAAAAAAAAAAAAAAAAAAAAGAAACAACATATTTTGAATTTTGTCATTTACTAACATTATGGATGTTGTGCCAAATGAACTTGCATTTTACCTACCTCATAACATATTCTAATTGTCGTCAGTTTTAGGTGATACTTTTCATTGTTGTTAGGCTAAGCAATATGGTTCTTGATTTGACCAAATAGGTCTAAGAGAGAAAATTATACATTACCTGTACATTGCCAAAGATGATAAAAATACACACATCTAGTGTATGTCCTACTACTATATGATGTTACATTTCTACACAAATAGTGATCTTATCACCAACATATTATTGGCATATAAATATGTGTAGCTATCTTATTACTGATACACTTGCTCCTAGAAGAAATATATAGGGCCAGGAAATTGTGTAAGGGGGACCAATATAGAAAGTTAGAATTGACTGCAATAAGTGTTTGTCTTTTTTGTATTTTTGTTTCATCCATTACGTGTGTTATATTTTTGGTAAAGTTTTAAGTCTGGCATCTGCACAGTTTGGTAAATATAACTTTTTTCTATTTACATGTAACACTGCTCGTATGTGTGTAACCCTTAATTTACTAAATGTGACATTTTTATGTTACATATGTTGGATCACATTTCCTGAATGTTAAACTTAAACAAATTAAATATTACACATACGAACGAACGATAGTACACAAAAATATAGAAAAAGTTACATTTGTCGTACTGATTTGGGTGCCGGACTTAAAATAATTCTTGTATATTTTATTATTATTGTTGTTGTTATTATTTTGTCTTTCCTTATTGTTTGAATTTGCCAAAAACTGTATAGTCTTTAGGATTGTTGGTGAAAATTTTGGTGGGATATATCTTTCATAGCCTTATTGCAGGGTTTGAATTCATCAACTTGTTAGGTACACTATGCATGTGGCACGTTGCGTGAATTTATAATCCTTCCAAAGTTTCACCATCTCCGATTTAACACGCTGAAACTTTTAGTTCTTAACTAATACAAATTAACAAAAGCCAAAATTCCTTAAAACTTTTCCAAAACACAAGAGAGATTTCTGATTATATATAGAGGGTACTCAATTCAGTTTACATTATCGTAATTCACAATTGTAAGTCGATAACAGAAAGAAAAGAAAAGGGCGTTTTTGTGCTTTTACCCTCTGAACTTTGACTAAATTGACAAATTGCCTTAACAATTTTTTAATTTTGTAAATTACCTCCTAAATCAATAGTTGTTGTGTACCCCAAAATTTAACGATCATATTTAAATTTGAAAGAAAACACCTTCATGCACATGACATGATTTTTATTGATCCGTTCGCCGTTCGAAATTTAGTATCCTCTTTCAAGTAATATGTACGAGGTTAGTTAATGTTATATTCAGGATCAATTTTTATAATTAAAAGTTTGAGAAATAACTCAATATTCAGGAAAAGTTTAGCGAATATATGTGCCAAATAAGCAATTTTAATTAATTAATAGAATAAAATTATTTTGGCATCTTCTGTTATAGTAATATGTGCCAAATAAGCAATTTTAATTAATTAATAGAATAAAATTATTTTTGCATCTTCTATTATAGTGAAATATCTTGCTTGTACTATATGTGTTTTTAATAATATTAAAACGGTATTTTCACTTTTTAAAAAACATTATTTCAGTACCCTAAAATAGAACCAAACTGCCATTTTATTAATTAAATGAAAATAATAACTTCAAAAATATTTTATGTAAATATTTTAACTTATTTTAATTTTTTAATGTTTTAAAGTATTTTCATAAAAATGATTAGTTTGTTGTTAATTAATGAAAAGGATATAATGGACATTTTATGTCTTAAAAATCATTTTTAAAGTACTGAAAGATTGTTTCTTTCAAAGTCAAGGTACTGTTTTAATACTATTAAAAATACAAAGCACCGGTAAGATGTTTTGCCATAACAAAGAGTACTAAAATAAGTTTATCTCTTAATTAATTAATTAAACAAATATTTACCTACTGCCTGTACATAACTGCAACATCATTAGGATGAGTTGTCTTATCAACCTCTCATTTTCACCTTGTGTTATATTCAACAAAGATGAGTAACAATATCTATCACCAAAAGCTGGAAACACACATAATAATTGAGTGTCACATCCATAGTTGTCTTAAGATGTGCACTTTCTGCAGAGACCTTATTGTTTTATATTCTTCAATCACATGATAATGTCTAACAAATTCACTAGAGATTTTTTTTTTTTTTCCATAGAAAAAATACAGTTTTCCTTTTCTTTCAATAGAAATTGGACAGTTGGGGGTTGCTAGATGAATTGATCTTTAAGAGCTAGCATGAATGCACAGTGGTCCATCTAAATAATATTGAGACCAATCCTACAAACTAGTTTATGGTTTTCATATCCCAAATTGGATTCAATTGTCCTTTATGGGAATTAGTGTCATACCAAATTTGTATATGATTGCTCTTCTTCAACAAGAATGGCAATTATCTACTAGTGAGTCTTGTCTTTACCTTGTATTAGATCTTTTTTTTTTTTTTTTTAATTTGGGTTTCATTTTTTAATTTGCTTTTTGCCCCTATTTTACGCAATTGACACTAGAGTCAGGTACGGATTTACTATTTAGTCCATGTCTGTTGTTTCATTAGCAAATGGTAATATATTGCAATTATATGTGCAGGGATTGGACCCCTTGGCAGTATCGGCTGTATTTTCCCCGGCTCAGTATGTTGGCGAAAAGCAAATCTCGGGCATTGATTGTTTCATGTTAAAATTGTCAGCTGATCAGACGGACCTGGCCGAGCGTAGTGATAGCACGGCTGAGATGATCAAGCATGTGATATTTGGTTACTTTAGCCAAAGGAGTGGCCTACTTGTCTATTTGGAGGATTCTTACCTGACTCGGATCCAATCCCCCGGGACCTACCCCACCTATTGGGAAACCACGATGTCAACGAAGATCGATGATTATCGGGCGGTGGAGGGCGTGATGATCGCACACACTGGTCAGACAAACGTGGTCATCACACGGTTCGGGGATAATCTAAAATCAGGCCCCGCAATCACGCGGATGGAAGAGACTTGGACCATTGATGATGTTGCATTCAACGTCCCTGGACTCTCCTTAGACTGTTTCATTGCTCCTAACGAAGTACAGAAACATTACCCTGAGGAAAAGCTTGATTGGAGATCGCCACTACAGTGTTGACTACAATGATTGACCATGTCAGAATCCAACGGTTCTCATTCGCTCCTCAAGAATGCTATATATATAATAGGCTTTGACTAAAAGTGGTTTTCCCTTAATTGTTGTGTATATCTTTTTATCCTAATTTTCCACGTGGCAAAAAGCAGTTATAGCAATATTTTAATAGCGGCTGAGCTCACACTCTTTGTCTATTTAATTTATGAGTTTAAATTAAAGTTTAAAGTAAAAATTTTGATTTTAATTTTTAAAATATAAATTTTTTGTGAGTAAAAAATATTATAATAAAATTAAAATCATGTGTTTAAATACTATTTTTCTGGATTTTGTGGCTGAAGAACAGAAAAAAAAGTTTTGTTGGAGTCACGGATTTCTTCTTCTTGTTTTATTTTTCCTTTATATCAAATTCCAATCATAGAAATCTGCTAAGCTGCGGCATTATAATCAGACATAGATAAGTCCTTCTGGCTTGCAAGTTGTTATTGACCTCCGAAAGGTGAGCAAATTGCTTAAGCATTATGTGATTTTTTTTTATTCTTTTTATAGTGTTGGGTAATACATGATGCTTATATAATGTAACATCATATACATATATTGGATATTCGTAAAGTTTCCTCTAGTAAAAGGAAAAAGGAAAACGAAAGCAAAATTATGCAAAAATTTTCATCGCAAGTTCCTATACGAAAATAACAAATATATATAATTTGCTCTGATCTGAAGCCAGGAGTCGAATTGAAGAGAGAAAAATGTTATGCTAGCGACAAAAAAAAGATTGACGTCTGTTATTAATTTGATTGCATTGTTAAGGATTATAAAATTTAAGGTCTAAAACCTCAAAATCAAGCGTGTTGGTGCAACCTGCAAATAATAAATTTACCCATAAAAAAAAAACCATGTGCATTATTCACGCATTCAAGTTAGTAATTCTATTTTATTGACGCGAATTTTGTGAGAGAAAATTTTTGAATTCTAATTCTTGTAAGATAAAAAATACTATAGCAGAATTAAAATTATAAGTTTAAATGTATGAGGAAAACGAAAGCAAAATTATGCAAAAATTTTCATCGCAAGTTCCTATAGAAAAATAACAAATATATATAATTTGCTCTGATCTGAAGCCAGAAGTCGAATTGAAGAGAGAAAAATGTTATGCTAGCGACCAAAAAAAAAAAAAAAAAACGACACAATTAACTGAAATCGACAACATCCGTTATAAGTGCTTTTCTTTTTTCCTTACATAATTACTCCTCTAAAATAATTTTCCTTAAACAGGGCGCGTTTAGAATTTATTTTAAAATGATTTTTTATGTAAATAAAAATAAAAACGTTTTTAATCTCAGACAGAAATTATTTTTAAAAATGTATTTGGTAGTTTTATCAAGAGATTATTTTTAGTGTAAAAAAACCTATTAATGTTTCTCTTTCTCTCTCTTTGCTTAGAGGAGAAAATGAAAATAAAAAATAAAAAAATGATTAAAAGTTATTTTTCATTTCTCTCTCATTTTACACTAAACTAAAAAATCATTTTCATTTCTGTTTTTTATCTTTATTGCGACAAATACCGTTTTAAAAACGTTTTTATTTTTTTCTCAAAAAATAAAAACAGAATCAATTCTAAATATGGCCTATATTTTTCTTTTCCTGCCAGCCTTTCGAGTGATACTCAAATAATATTTTCACATATGCACCCGTAAAGAGTTTAAAGGTATAACTAATTTTTATTATATTCCCGCGTTTCACGGTTTTTTTTCTTCAACGAGTAAAACAAAGAGGCGATAGTATAAAGTGCATCTTGAATTTTCAGCGTTTAATAACTTTGACCTGAAGCTTTTAATTTTTACAAATAACACTTTAATTATAAAATTTGTTGCAATTGTGATTCAACATCCAACAAACTTCAATTAGTAGACAGAAATTACCCAAGATTTTCAAACAAATGTACCTAATCTTTTTATTAGTTAGCAAATTTGGCGCTCAACTTTTTAAATGTTGACATTCGTTCGTGATTGACGTCTGTTATTAATTTGATTGCATTGTTAAGGATTATAAAATTTAAGGTCTAAAACCTCAAAATCAAGCGTGTTGGTGCAACCTGCAAATAATAAATTTACCCATAAAAAAAAAACCATGTGCATTATTCACGCATTTAAGTTAGTAATTCTATTTTATTGACGCGAATTTTGTGAGAGAAAATTTTTGAATTCTAATTCTTGTAAGATAAAAAATACTATAACAGAATTAAAATTATAAGTTTAAATGTATATTCATTTGCACAATTCAAGTCATGACTTGAATTGTGTATGTGAGCATAA